CCTTCACCAAGTGTCTTCACATTATGTATGTCTGGCTCAGTATCTTGTTAATTCCTGAAGGTAATAATAACTTTGTCTCGTGTGAAACTTTGAAGCAGATGAACAAAGCCATCGATCAGTTAGTAGTGTCTTTAACTATACCTTGTTTCAAAAGTACGGTTCTCTTGGTGGCGTCCCGACACCTCAATCACACAAATCATGCGTCTGACGAACGAGGGCGCTCTTGCCTGTCACAGTTGCTGGACCACTATGACCTTACATGCTATGGAAGGGAAACACAACGCTGGCGTAATATATACACACATTTCACAGACAAACTGCGACAAATGTGACCAGGGTTAGGCTAAGGCGCACAAAAAGCATTCAAAAGGAATTACCAGAAAAACTGGAAGATGAACCTACAATTTTCTAACTAAGAGACCCCCCCCCAGTGTGTAATTGTCAACAATGTCAAGTCTGGACCATCAACCGTGATGAGCTCAGTCCCCCAGGGTACTGTGCTTGCTCCAGTACTCTCTCACTCTCATACTTAACATGCTCAGTCTCCCAGGGTACTGTGCTTGCTCCAGTACTCTCTCACTCTCATACTGAACATGCTCAGTCTCCCAGGGTACTGTGCTTGCTCCAGTACTCTCTCACTCTCATACTGAACATGCTCAGTCCCCCAGGGTACTGTGCTTGCTCCAGTACTCTCTCACTCTCATACTGAACATGCTCAGTCTCCCAGGGTACTGTGCTTGCTCCAGTACTCTCATACTAAACATGCTCAGTCCCCCAGGGTACTGTGCTTGCTCCAGTACTCTCTCACTCTCATACTTAACATGCTCAGTCTCCCAGGGTACTGTGCTTGCTCCAGTACTCTCTCACTCTCATACTGAACATGCTCAGTCTCCCAGGGTACTGTGCTTGCTCCAGTACTCTCTCACTCTCATACTGAACATGCTCAGTCTCCCAGGGTACTGTGCTTGCTCCAGTACTCTCTCACTCTCATACTGAACATGCTCAGTCCCCCAGGGTACTGTGCTTGCTCCAGTACTCTCTCACTCTCATACTGAACATGCTCAGTCTCCCAGGGTACTGTGCTTGCTCCAGTACTCTCTCACTCTCATACTGAACATGCTCAGTCCCCCAGGGTACTGTGCTTGCTCCAGTACTCTCTCACTCTCATACTGAACATGCTCAGTCCCCCAGGGTACTGTGCTTGCTCCAGTACTCTCTCACTCTCATACTGAACATGCTCAGTCCCCCAG